ATGATAGATATCTATGTAAATGACAGATTTACCTTCATTAGAACTGAAACGCTATCAAATAAGTTGGAAAAAAGGAAATAGAATTTTGAAAAATACTGGAAAAAAGCAAACTGAATAAATCTAATTTCATCAGACAATCAAACATGAACACACACACAGAGAAATTCTCAAGGTTTGGAGAGGACACTAATCAGCCCCTGTCCTCCTCTCTGCTAACTACTGGTAGCTACTGGAGCCAGCAGGTGAAGACCTATCAATCTTCATCTCTAAAAGCCAATACTCAATCTATAGAACAATGCTCAAAGGCCTGCATGATTTTGCTACAGGGGACCTTTATCGCCTTATTGTATACCTCATTTTGCCACAAGTCCTATACTTTAACTCTTTGGGACTCTTTAGGCCAGGTGTTTTCCTCTGAACAGCAACTTTTCTCTCTACCATTTTCAGCACACAGCATCACCTCTCTACCCAGGATTCCCACTAACTTCCATCTCACTCCTGAACTCTGACGTTTGTTTCCCAATGCCTGTTGCATGGCACATGCATGTCCCGAACAGAGTTTAATATGCTATAGGCGACACTGAACTGGTCACAATATTTCCTAGTTCAAAAATGGCTTTTCCTGCATCCCTAAATGGACTGTCATCTTCTCAGACACTCAGGCCTGTGACTTAAAGCCTGACTTTTTGTGCCTCCCACACTCAATGAATTGCCAAGTCCTACTGATTTGATTCCAAGGAGCTCTGGTAGCGTAGTGGTTACGAATCGGGCTGTGAACCTCAGGGTCAGCAGTTCGAAACTACCAGATGTTCCGTGGGAGAAAGATGAGGCTTTCTGCTTCCGTAAAGATTTACAGCCTCGGAAACCCTGTACAGGGTCACTATGAGTCGGAACCGACTCCATGGCACATAACAACAACAACAACTGATTTGATTCTACCATTCATCTGTCAGTTTGTCATACTATGGTGGCCTGTGAGTTGCTGTGATTCTCTGGAAACTATGCCACGGTATTTTAAATACCGGCAGGGTCACCCATGGTGGACAGGTTTCAGATGAGCTTCCAGACCAAGACATACTAGGAAGAAGGAGTGACAAACTATTTCCGAATATTTAGTCACTGAAAACCTTATGAATATCAGAGAAACACTGTCAGATACAGTGCCAGAAAATGAGCCCCTCAGGTTGGAAGGCACTCAAAATGCGACTGGGGAAGAGCTATCTCCTCAAAGACCGTGATGACACGAATGGAGTAACAGACAACATTGTGAAGTATGAGTATTCCTGAACACTTAATTGTGCTCAAGAGGAATCTGTACATGGACCAAGAGACAGAACATGGGTTTAAAATTAAGAAAGGTGTGTGACAGGGTTGTATTCGTTCACCATACTTATTCAACCTGTATGTTAAGCAAATCATCAGAGAAGCTGGGTTATATGAAGAAATATGTGGCATCAGGATTAAAGGAAGACTCATTAACAACCTGCAATATGCAGATGATACAACCTTGTTTGCTGAAAGTGAAGAGGACTTAAAACATTTATTGATGAAGATCAAAGAGCACAGCCTTCACTATGGATTGCATCTCAATGTAAAGAAAACAAAAATCCTCACCACTGGACCAACAAACAACATTCTTATCAACGGAGAAAAGATTGAGTTGTCAAGGACTTCATTCTTCTTGGATCAAGTATAAACACTCATGGAAGGAGCAGTCAAGAAATCAGACGACGTATTGCATTAGGCAAATCTGTTAAACAGGAACTTTTTTAAGTGTTGAAGAGCAAAGATGTCAGCTTGAGGACTAAGGTGCATCTGACCCAAGCCATGGTATTTTCAATAACCTCATATGCATGCAAAAACTGGACAGTGAATAAGGAAGACCATAGAAAAATTGATGTTTTTGAGTTATGGTGTTGGAGGAGAATATTCAAAGTGCCATGGGCTGCCAAAAGAACCAACAGATCTGTGTTGGAAGAAGTGCAGCCAGAGTGTTCCTTGGAGGCCAGGATGGCCAAACTTCATCTCTCATACTTGGGACATATTGTCAGGAGGGACCAGTTGCTGGAGAAAGATATCATGTTTGGTCAGAGAAAAAGAGGAAGACCGCCAGCGAGATGGATTGGCCAAGTGGCAGCATCAATGGACTCAAGCATGGCAACAATTGTGAGGACCAGGCAGTGTTTTGTTCTGTTGTACATAGGGTTGCTATGAGTAGGTCCCGATTTGATGGCACTTAACAACAACAACAACGACTGACTTGATTACTATAGTATTTCTTACAGCCTTTCTTTCTTCTATCAGTGACCACAGCTACAAGTTCAACTCTGTTCATTTTCTTTATTCTCCCATTTTGGCTTTGTATTGCTGGTACAGCAGTTATTCTAAATGGACTGTGCGTTATTGTGCTAGCCCATTTTTCAAAAGCGTCAATAGATCTCTAGTGTCAGCTGAAAGTCCGCTTTCCTAGCCCCATGTTAAAGGTCTCTCATTATCAAAACCTAACTTGCTTTTTTCAGTCTTAGATGTCATTTCATTCCCTTCATGTAATATTTGTTGTTGTCTTAAGTGCCACTGAGTCAGTTCCAACTCATAGCGACTCTGTATAGAGTTTCTAATCTTTAAGGGAGCAGAGAGCCTCGTCTTTCTCCTGTGGTGCAACTGATGGGTTTGAATTGCTGACCTTGCTAGTGAGCAGTCCAATGCATATCCTATATTGCCAAGGGCTATGGAAATTATTTTGGTCACATCTTATCTGTGGGAGGGTGAGGACATTATGGAGTCTACATATCTGGATGAAAACAGAAACATTTATTTATTAACATTATTTGGTAAGTAATGTTTATTTATTTATCAAGAAGCACAGATGGCAAATATAGTTAGCTAAATAATCTGGATATCAGTAGGAGGGGAAAAAACAACAACCCTATATATGTTGCTGCTAAGTGCCATCGAGTTGATTCCAGCCCATAGTGACCCTTTTTAGGGTTTCTGAGGAGGGACTGGTGAGCTTGAACCACCGACCTTGTAGTTCAAATGACTTTGCAGTCTAGTGCATTAACCCACAGTGCCACACTAGGACTCCAACTATATATATAAGAATCTTTAAATACAGAAGTAACACTTGTAAAGGTTATAGATTTATTTGTGACTTTTTAAATATCAAATTAAAAATGGCTTACATTTAGGTTTATCCTACTTCAATGAACAGTTTACGAGCACTAACTGGTAACGCAAAGTTGTTAATTATGTTGCAAAAAATATGAGCAAACCTCTAGAGAAACTGAACCTTAGGGTGATCTACAGGCTTCCAGGAGCAAAGAATAAACAGTGGTCACTAATAGAGGTGCAAACTCTGAATCCTGAAGAGTCACCAAATCTCTCTTCAGGGTAACATACTTGGGATCACTGAATTCCAAGTCATACATAAAGCTCTGACTGTTTATCAAGAAGCAACACAAATCCTTGCCCAGTCAGTAAGCCATTGTAAGTTGAATCCTTTCATGTGTTTAATTGCATTTACCAGGAGGTTTGTAGTATATGGGTCAGATTTCTAATGTTCTTTTTGTTGTAAAGCAGACCTTATATCCTAATCCAAACTATAAGACTTCTCTAAAGCTTCCACCAGTTCTGTGTCTCCATCACTTGCCGAAGACTGCTGTAAACATCCTATTTATTGTTGTTCTGTGGAATTAATTTTTTAATGTGCAACAAGTTTCTAACAAACGGTTCAATACTTTGAGGCCTGGCGACATGAGGGTATTTAAAAAGACATGATGGGTATTTCACAATTTGAAAATGCTCAGCTTAGTGCAAGTTGCTTTAAATATGGTGCATTGTAGGTATGTCCATTGAATTACAGCTTTCCCCGGTTTCTATTATGTTGGTCCTATGCATACACACTTCTGTTCCCCATCATGGCTGTGACGTTTCCTTGAGTCCTACGCTAATTGCCCTCTTCCCTCAGTTTCAACTGGTTTGGGCTGTGTTTTCCAGATCTTGACTACAGAAATAGACAGTGTGAATGCAGAGAGACCATAGACTTGAGTGACTTTACTTGAGTAGCACAATTTCTTGACCTGCTTACCTATATATTCACATTCCCCCTCTCTCTGCAGATGGGGATGATGTCTAAGATACCAAAGATGTCTGAGCAGATGTCTAATATATCAAAGGCAGCCTTGTTGTTGTTGCTAACTGCTGTCAAGTTGGTTCTGACTCATAATAACCTTGTGTAGGTTTTCCATGGAGTTTGAAGCACCGACCTTGTGGTTCAAGCCAACCTTTAGTTCCAGTACTTCATTCTGCAGCACTACACCAGGACTCCTACATTTTCTTGATTTTTCTTGGACATTGTAATGTGACTGCTGGCACCCTCTTCCCAACCCAAGGTGACAAGTTGCACATTTCTCCTTACTTTATAAGAACACCTCACACATATACTCCAGGTCTTTAGCTAACCAAATATGCCACCTCAGTTATTTCAGTATTTTTTGTTCTACACCCTTTGAATTCCCTAGCAGCTGGATTTAGGTACTTGCAATATAATGTTAGTCCTGCTCACTTTAGAATTTTTTGATAGTGAAAAGGGATTTGTTGCTATTTAAAATGTGTAGCATGCTATTTATTTTCATTAAATTTCAAGAGAAGTAATTAATTATTTTAGGAAGTTTGTTTTGGGTAAAAATGCTTTAGGCTAGAGAGGCTAGAAATGATTACTTCTTGACAACTGTTCTTTCAGATGTTCAAAGCAGTAGTGGTTGTTTCTACCAGAAAGACTTTCCCTTGAACAACACCTGCTACAAACCTTAGTCTTTTCATTATATTTAATAAAGTAAGCATTTGGTCCAAGTAGGGAACAGATTTTGTTGTTAGTGTCTATAGTTGGCTGAGAGAATATTCCTGTGTTGCATAGAAGAACAGAGACTTTCTATAGAATAAGACACACCTCTGGAGTTTAAATGGATAACAGATAAAGCTAGAGTAAAAAGACATATTACCTTTGGATCATGGATTCCAGAAAGTTCTTCATAAATCTTCTCACCTACCATGACAGCAGCCAAGTTTGCCGTGTATGTAGAAAGGCAAAACATACAGAAAATGGCCCAGAGGTTCATTAGAAACCTTCCAGTCCAGCATTTTGGGGGTTTGATGGCTGATGTTCTACCAAACAAGAGAGCATAACAGACATTCAAGGCTGAAGAGAAGGAGAAAACTTTACTTCTATTTCGTCCCTTAGGAGTCATACCAAAAGGGCTCTTCCATTCATATAGAGTGAGGAAGATGGCAGTGATGTGCAGAGCCACAAAAATCCCCAGCCACATTGTCCAGTGCAGTGGCCACATGAAGGCTCCAATAGGAGCTGCTGTGTCTCGTGTCCTCACCAAGATGCCCAAGCTGGTGGAGAAGAAAGGGCTAGTGAAATCTATCACCTGGCTTCGTGCAGTGTTGATGCTGAAGGATGTGACTGCCATATGGGCCGTCCCACTAAGAAGGTCTCCCACCAGCCCAGTCCAGTGCCCATTTTTCCAGGCTCCATACTTTCCATCCCCCACTATATAGAGGTCAAAGTCAAAGTTCATATCTTCTGCTAGCCTTTCCAGCAGATCAATGCAATATCCATAGCAGCATTTCTTGAATTTGATGGGCACTGTATCATTACTGCTATGGAGGCTGCTGAAAAGACTGTCCAATATGGAAGAGTCGTTAGTCATGGGGTCTAGACAGAGTTGGCCAGCAGGGCACAAGCCGTCATCATCTACCTCCCGAGTGAAGACAAATGGGTGCTCAATCAGTGTAACCACTCTCAAGTGTAGCTTACTTGGGTGTTGTAAGTGAGTTTTGTGCCTCTGGGCCTGCTCAGGCCATATCCCGTAGTCCATGACAATCTTTCCCCCCTGCCAGCTGCCCAAGCGAGTCCACATTGGCTTTCCCATGGGGTCATGTTGAAGGTTCCAGATGAAAAAGTTGTTTTCTGAGCTGACGATGGTGGACCCTTTCACTTGGATGGAACCACTGAGACCTCTGAAAGTGGTGTTGGCTAGGAACCTGGCAAAGAGCAAAGACAGAAAATCAGGAAAAGAAGTGAGGCAAGAGACAAAACATAATGCTACTCTTTGTTTCTTTGTATTGATAAAAAGAAACACTTAGCATTGCCTATAATTTCTTTACGAATTAATAAACTGGACTCTTCAGGACAGGAGTTCTATTCCACTGAGTGATTGAGAGATGTTCTAATGCCCAAGCAATACACTTGGTCTGACTCCAAAACGCTTCACTTCTAGTTAAGAGATGTGCTAACTGTTTTCTGTTGTACACTGTCAATTACATATTCTCATAATTTCCCAAGTTTGTGGAGATTCTTAACATCTTTAGCATGTTTATTTTTATTCCTCATTACATTTGATTGCAACTAGATCCACTCAATAAATATTCTTGTTGCAGGGAATGAGTTTTAAAAAATATGTGTAAACTTTTATAATTGCTTAAAAGTTGCATTCATAGCAGCAGAAAATAGCCAAAATCTTGTTACAAACGTTGATCCTTTGGAGTGGAAACAATTACCATATCTACCCCTGGAGGCCAGTCAAACCTGCATGTCAAACCTTCCATGGAGCAAAGACAAAGATGATAAATAGACTTGCAGTTCTCAGGATAACCTCAGGCTACTCTCCTTCTAAATCAGTGGAGAAAAACAATTGGCTCAGGCTTTAGAGAGACGTCTATCAGAAGTTAAAGAAAGGCAAATTACCAACTGAATGACATAGTCATCCCTAACCATGTGTGGCACTGTGGGATAAAGCACTGGGCAAGGACGGTTTGAACTACAAGGTTGGTGGTTCAAACTCACCAGCTGCTCCTTGGAAACCCTATACGGGGTCACTATGAGTTGCAACGGACTCGACAGCACTTAACAACAACAACTCGATGGAAAAGGAGCCCTGATGGCACTGTAGGATAAGCATTGAACTGCCAATCATAGTTGGAAGTTCAAATGCACCAGTTGCTCCAAGGGAGAAAGATGAGGCTTTCTGCTCCTGTATAGATTTATAGCCTTGGAAACCCTATACCGGGTCTCTATGAGTCGGAATCAACTTGAAGGCAGTGGGTTTGGGTTTAGCTTGGGGAACCCTGTGAAAAAGAGCCCAGGGGGCACTGTGGATTAGACATTGGGCTAACCTCAAACTCAGTGGTTCCAATGGCTCCAAGAGAGAAAGATGAGGCTGTCTGTTCCCATAAAGATTTACAGTCTCAGAAACTTTATATAGGGTTGCTCTGAGTCAAAATTGCCTCGATGCCAGTGAGATTAACCCTTTAAAGGAGCCCTGATTATTTAATGATTTAAACGTTCAACTGTTAAGCACATGGTAAGCAGTTTGAACCCACCAGCCGCTCCAAAGGATAAAGATGTGGTAGTTTCCATCTTTGAAGATGACAGGCTTGGAAGCCCTATGGGGCAGTTCGATCCTAGTTTGTAGGGCGGCTCTAAGCCAGACGGCCATCTAATATAATAATGGAAGATATGCCCCTCAGGTTGGAGTCAAAATACAACTGAGAAAGAACTGCCTCCTCAAAGCGGAGCTGACCATAATGACATGAATACAGCAAAGCTTTCAGGACCTGTATTTGATGATGGGGTGCAACTCCAAATGAGAAGAAATAGCTACAAATATCCATTCCTAATTGGAACATGGAATGTACAAAATATGAATCTAAGAAAATGAGAAATCATCAAAAACGAAATGAAAGGCAGAAAGATTGTTACAGTAGCCATCAGTGACCTGAAATGGACTGGTATTGTCATTTTGAATCCAACAAACATACAGGTGACTATGTTTGGAATCAGAAACTTAAGAGGAATGTGTCACGTTCATCCTCATAAAGAGCTTTTCAAGGTCTATCAGTGCTGTCTGTGACAGGATATGCACTGTGGGATAATACACTAGACTGCAAGGTCAGTTGGGCTGCAAGGTTGGCTATTCAAACCCACCGGTCCCTCTTTGTAAAGCCTATATAGGGTCGTTATGAGTTGGAACCAACTCAACGACACTTAACAACAACAACAACACGAAGACCAGTTAATACCACCATTATTTAAATTCACTCGCAAACCACTAAAGCCAGTGATGATGAAATTGAAGATTTCTACCAATTTCTTCTGTCTAAAATTGATCAAACATGCAATCAATATGCATTGGTAATTGCTGACGATTGGAATGTGAAGTTGGAAACAAAGAGAAAGGATCAGTAGTTGGAAAATATGGCCTTGGTGATAGAAATGATGCCAGAGATCACGTGATTGAATTTTGTAAGACCAATGACTTATTCTTTGCAAATACCCTTTTTAAAACAATATAAAAGGTGGATTATATACATGGGCCTCAACACTTGAAATACACAAGATTCAAATTGACTACATCTGTGGGAAAAGACTATGGAAATGATCAATATCATCAGCTGAAACAAGTCAAAATGCATTAACTGTAGAACACACCATCAATTGTTCACATACACGCTCAGGATGAAGCTGAAAGAAAATGAAAATAAGTCCATGAGAGTTAAAATATGAAGTTGAATATATTCCACCTGAATTTAGAGACTATCTCAAGAACAGATTTGATGTATTAGACACTAATGACTGAAGACCAGAAGAGTTGTGGAATGATATCAAGAACATCATACACAAGGATAGAAAAAGGTCATGAAAAGACAGGAAAGGTCAAAATGGACGTCAGCAGAGACTCTGAAACTTGCTCTTGAATGTAGAGAAGCCAAAGTGACTGCAAGATATGATGAAGTAAAAGAGTTGAACAGATCATTTCAAAGAGCAGCTCAAGAAGACAAAGTCAACTATTATAATGAAATGTGCAAAGACCTGAGCTAGAAAACCAAAAAGGAAGAACACCCTCTGCATTTCTCAAGCTGAAAGAATTCAAGAAAACATTCAAGTCTGTTATTTCAATATTGAAGGATTCTATGGGCAAAACAGCATCAAAAGAAGATGGAAGAAATACACTTTCACTGTATGAAAAAGAATTGGTTGCTATTCAGCCATTTTAAGAGGTAGCACATGATTAAGAACCAATGGTATTGAAGAAAGAAGTCTAAGCTACACTAATGGCGCTGACCAAAAACAAGGCTCCAGGAATTGCTGGACTCTAAATTGATATGTTTCAGCAAAGTGATGCAGCACTGGAGGCACTCATTCATCTATGACAAGAAATTTGGAAGACGGCTACCTAACCAGCCAACTGGAAGAGATGCATATTTGTGGACATTGAGAATAGAGGTAGACCAATGAACTGTGGAAATAATATCTCATGCAAATAAAATTTTGCTGAAGATAATTTAAAAATGGTTACAGCACTATATTGACAGGTAGCCTCCAGAAACTCAATCTAGATTCAGAAGAGGATGTGGAACGAGGGATACCCTTGCTGACATTTGCTGGATCTTTGCTGAAAGCAGAGAATACCAGAAAGATGTTTACTTGTGCTTTATAGACTGTATAAGGGCATTCAGTTGTATGGATCATAACACACTATAGATAATATTGTAAAGAATGGGTATTCCAGAACCCTTCATAAGGAGTCTGTCCATTAACCAAGAGGCAGTCATTAGAACAGAACAAGGGGATACTGAGTGGTTTAAAACTCAGGAAAGACATACAACAGGGTTGTATCTTTTCACCTCACTTATTAAATCTGTATACTTAGCAAATATTCTGAAGCTGGATTATCTGAAGAAGAACGTGGCATCAACATTGGAGGAAGAGGTATTGACAATCTGTGGTATGCAGATGATACAACTTTGTTTGCTGGAAGTGAAGAGGACTTACAATATCTACTGGTGAAGATCAAAGATTACAGCTTTCAGTATAGATTGCACCTCAAAGAAAGAAAACTAACATCCTTACAATTGAATTAATACATAGCATTGTGATAAACGGAGAAAGGTTTAAAGTTGTCAAAGACTTCAATTTGCTTGGATCCATAATCATTGCTCTTGGAAGCACCAGTCAAGAAATGAAAGGACTATTACATTAGGCAAATCTGCCGCAATAGACCTCTTGTAAGTATTCAAGAGGAAAGGTGTCAGTTTGAGTACTAAAATGAGCTTGGCTCAAGCTATGGTATTTTCAATTGCTCCATATGCATATGAAAGTTGGGCAATGAAAAAGGAAGACAGTACAGTACTCTATGCATTTGATTTATGATGTTGGAGAAAAATATTGGAAGTCACATGGACTGCTGGAAGACAAACAAATCTCTTTTGGAAGAAATCCAGCCCAAATGCTGTATGGATGATGAGACTTTGTCTCTCATACTTCTGACATGGGACCAGCCCCTGATGAAGGACATCAGGCTTGGTAAAGTGGAAGATCAGTGAAAAAGAGGAAGACCCCCAACAAGATGGACTGACACATTGGCAGCAGCAAAGGACTCAAATGTAACAAAGATTGTGAGGATGGCACAGGGTTGCTGTGAGTCAGAACACACTCGACAGCACTTAACAACAATCAACAAAAAACCTTCAGTTTCTTCATCAGTAAGATACTTCCTCCATTGCAAGGGTTGTAAATAATGCGTGTAGAAGGTTGAATACTCTTGGACATGAAACCAGTGTGGCTGTGCTGCTGCTGCTGCTGGTGGGCCTTTCGCTCAGCTCTGACTCATAGAGACCTTGCATAGCGTTTTCGAAGCTGTAACTCTTTAAGGGAGCTGAAAGCCTCATCTTTCTTCCGTGGAGTGTCTGGTGGATTTGAACCGCTGGCCTTGCAGTTGGCAGCCCAACACAGAACCCACTATACCACCAGGGTTTCTCTCTGGCTATGGTAGCTATTATGGTAGCCATTCAAGTGTTCCTAGCTCACACTGACAATTATTTTTAGAAAACTTTTCTAGTTGGAGACATGAAGTTACAGCATTACAATAAATCCATGAAAGGAACTCAAGGTCCGTTTCAAATGAAAAGGAATGAAATTGAAATGCAGAAAGCAACATAGACTTTCTTGAGGAATCAGAGGCAAGTCTAAGGTCTCAGCAAAA